CCCAAGGGGGTTATGGTCACCCATCAGAATTTGTGCAGTAACGCGTCGATCATCACAACGTCTGTCAATATGACTTCCGACAGCCGGGTGCTACAGTTTGCATCACATGCATTTGATGGGTGTATCTTGGAATTACTGGGTGCGCTGATCGCAGGTGCCTGTCTGATCATCCCGTCCGAGTCGGAGAACAAGGAAGACCTGGCTGGTTGTATCGAGCACATGGACGTCACTTGGGCACTCCTGACCCCTTCCGTCGCAAGGATCTTGAAGCCAGAGACCCTTCCTAGGCTAAGTAATTTAGTCCTCGGAGGCGAGCCGATAGCTGCTTCTGATTTAGATATGTGGCGGGGGCACGTACAGGTGGTGTGTGCCTATGGCCCAACCGAAACTACCATTGTCGCTAGTACGACATCACCCTCCACCTTTCCCACCGATGGGAAGGATATTGGCGTGCCAAACGGTAGCTCCCTTTGGATTGTCGACAGATGGAACTATCACAAGCTGTCGCCTCTTGGAGCCACAGGCGAGCTTTTGATTGAAGGGCCCAATGTAAGCCAAGGTTATCTTGGGGATCCAGAAAAAACCAGCAATGCCTTCCCAGATGCTCCACGCTGGCTGTCACGACTCCGGAAATCGCCTACTAGGGTCTACCGAACCGGTGACTTGGTTCGCTTCGACACATCTACGGGCACCATTTGCTTCGTGGGACGCAAAGATAACCAGATCAAATTCCATGGGCAGCGCATCGAGCTCGGTGAGATCGAACATCATGCTCAGTTGGCATTTTCGAGTGCCAGCACGGTCATCGTCGATTTGATTACCCCTGAACAGCCTCAACAGCCATATATTGTTACATTCGTGCATCAACCAGATGCAAACACTAAAGCGACCGGCACCATCGACAACATTCTGCTTCCTCCATCCGAGTCCTTCCGAGCAGACGCTCTGGCAGCGCAGAACAAGATGCACAAACGACTTCCGCACTACATGGTCCCAGCAGTGTTCCTCCCTTTGCATCGTCTTCCTCTATCAGCCACTGGCAAAGCCGATCGGAAACGTCTCCGACAATGTGCACTTGCTCTGTCCAGCTCTGCGCTTAGTGAATACCGCGCTACGGCCTCGACGAAGCGTATTCCTTCCACCGGAGCGGAGCGCAAAATGCAGGATTTGGTTGCAACTGTTCTGGGAAGGGACCCTGCTGAGATCGGCATGGATGACAGCTTTTTCTATCTGGGAGGTGACTCCGTGCAAGCAATGCGCTTGGTTGCTGAGGGACGTCAGCAAGGGCTTGCCCTTTCCCTTCGAGCGATTTTTGACTCTCCCCGTCTACGTGACCTTGCCGACCAAACGAGAAGTCCAAACGGAGATAATCAGCGAGTGCCGGCCGCTTCATCGGCCGGCCTACGTGATAATTGCGACCAAATAGACAGAGTAGTTGCAACTAACTCCCTCAAGAAGACTGACGTGGCCGATGTCCTTCCCACAACCTCCTTCCAGCGCCACTGGCTAGACACACAACTGAAGAGCTACATTGTCGTCGACATACCAGGCCCGATCGACCCGGCCCGTCTTCTTAGGGCCATGCATCGTGTTGTGGAGGCTTACCCAATTCTCCGGGTCTCCTTTGTGCCTTATGAAACGACCACCATGCAAGTGATCCAAAACACGGTAGTGGCCATAACCAATGCCGACCTGTCAACCAGTACCGTGGAAGACATTTGCCGCCAGGATGCAGATACCCCAACAGTTCCAGGTATGCCGTACCTGCGCATCATCCTAGCGACCCAAGGCGAAGCCGATCATACATTAATCATGCGGCTTTCTCACGCCCAATACGATGCCGTCTCACTTTCCCTTCTCATGAATGATCTGAGCCATGCATACGCAAACGAGACTCATCCCCTACCTTCGACCCACTTCCCCCGGTTCAATGACTACATTACCTACCAGCAAGCTCAGAGGGCCGATCCCACAGCGACCACATTCTGGCGCCATCTCCTCCAGGATATCCCGCTCACCTACCTTAACCTCAATCCAGCCGGGTCAGCAACCAGCAATGGAACTCCGATTACACTTTCCCGCGACATTAACATCGCTGCTCTCCCCTCACTTCCCAGCGATATTACCATAGCCACAACAATCAAAGCAGCCTGGTCCTTGGTCCTAGCCCAGAAGACCGATTCTCTTGCCGTGATATTCGGCCAAGTGGTTCACGGTCGGGCCATTGCCCTTCCTGGGGTCGAGGGAATCGTCGGTCCCTGTGCTAATATTACGCCCGTTGTTGCACGCCTGGGTCTTCAGACTACGGGATTTGAGTTAATGCAAACCTTGCAAGACCAACACCGCTCTGCTATGCCGTACGAGACGGTGGATCTAGATGACGCGCTGGCTTACACCAAGACCTCGCAGGCCGGGAGTAAAGGGTTGCAAACAATCGTGCAGCATCAGAATAACGTGATGGTTGATGATATGGAATTGTTGCTTGGAGAGGTCAAGTGTGGGGTAGATGTCAGGGCAGTAGATCATGTGCCGAAAGAGGTATGGGTTTATTCGTCTGTTGATGAGAAGAGACCGGGTATGTTGGAGGTGAAGATCATGTCATCGACGTTGGTGCTGGGTGAGGAGGTGGCGGAGGAGTTGATGGGTTTGCTTGTAGAGAAAATAGTGGGGTTGTTGAGGCATCCTGAGGGTGTGTGTGTTTGAATGAGCTGTGTTAAGGAGAGACAGTAAAGCTTAGGCTGTTGTATATATGTTATTGAATGAATATGACGTGAAGATCACATAGTATAAACTCCACTTTGACCAACAGGATTCTCTCCCCTCCCGCCCTCTAGATGATGATTACACACTCTTCTCCCACCCGACCCAACATCATCAGCAACCCCAAATCACTCACTCAATACACAAATCCAGACCTAATCTCTCCTGACAACAAACTGCATCTTAAATGTGGTCTCCCCATTATGCGCTACCTTCGTAATCCCCTTCCACTCCTCGCCCGTAACATCAACGCTCCACTGCGTCCCCGTCTCCCTCCCCACCTGCTCCCACAACCTCCTCCACGAATCCAAATTATGGCGCCAAATCTTCGACTCCAATTCGTTCGCCCACACCTCCCGAGAATTGTAGTCACCCACATGGCGACCAACCACCATGGAACCGGCCTTCGGCCTTAGCAGCTTAATGACCTGCTTAGCCAGCTTGACCTGGGTATCCCAGTCGAAGAGATGGAAGAATGAGGCCGCATTGATTATGTCTACTTTCTCGCTGAGTCGCCGGAATAGTTCACTGCTGCTGTCGAAGATGTCTCCGGTGATGAATTGGCATGCCAGGGTGTCGCGGTCCGCGAAGAGGTCGTATCCCAGTTCGATGAATTGGGGGTGCAGGTCTGAGCCGTAGATTTGAGATTGAGGGGCTCCTTGGTGCACCTGCTTAGGTTAGTAATTGGCTTTGGGGTTATTGGCTGAGGGGGGAGTACAAGATGTCTGATGTCCTGGCCCATGGCGCATCCCAGATCCAGGTAAATGTCGGAGGTATCCTTCAAGCGGGATAGGATCTCAGGGTATGCAGTTGAGTTGCATATGGTGATATCAAGGAACCGGAAAGATCCGATACATGGATAGGGAAACTTATCTGATCAGTAATGACAGTGACTAGTATGGGGAGGTGTAGACTTACGACTGCAAATGCGCGATCTCTCTGTTGTACCCAGTGATATTCAGTATATATTTGCCTAGATCAAAGGTATACACTTACCACTTCTTTGACATGGTCAATGATCTTCTCCTCCGGGATCTTGCTGTACTCGGCAAGAATGGTACGCGCGGGCTCCTTGACCTCAGCCAGTTCGGGCTCATACCAGCTAAACTGGCGGTTGATGCCATCCTGCGAAGGACCTACCGTACTTGTGGTTGGTTCGCTCATGGTGATCTGCTGCAAATGGATAGGGGAAGAACTGAGATCTACGGTCGGGGTTTCATTCGGGGTTTCGGGCAAGAAGATGAAGACGAGGAAAAGACTGTGGCGGAACCTAACCGTGTGGTGCGGGGCTGCTGCCGTCGGACATCCGATGCCTTCGGAGTTAGAGCAGTGAATTAGTATGGACTAACAAAGAGAATGATATTTTGATAATAGGTGTTTTATGGATCTATATGTTGCCATCCATAGACCTATCAGAATCGATCGGACATTATTTCATAGAAGTGTAAGCGACAAGCCGACAGATGAGGAACAAGCTTTCGCCAACCCTTCAGACCTTGGTGTGCAAGGGACTGACCCACTGCTGTCCAACGGCGTCCAGAATGTTCTTCCACGTACAACTGGCATGGCATATGGAGATTTGCTTCAGATGTTTGCTCCACTACTTGCATCTATAGACGGATCACCCTTTCTACTGCGACCGTGCGTTCTGCGCTACTTCGACTTGAAAAGTTGCACCCTTAGCTCAACTTTAGCCGAGATGGCTCAAACGGCACTATGTCTACCAATCCTATGCACTACGATCCTTCGTGTCTTCTTGATATCATCAGTAATGCTCAGACTGTTTCTCGGCATTTTGATCTGACCCCCGGCATAAGTTATCTCCAGCCTTGTCCTGAATCCTGATAATGCGGGCATCCCCGCTTATCGGAGTAGCGGCCGGCGGAGCTGTCCGCTTAGCCGAGCAGAGCTGAATACTGCCCTGAATTCGACCTACAATTGTTCGAACAGAACAATTGTATTAAGAGCTATAACAAGAGTAGTACCTTATCCCTCTATTCACCACATCTTCAAAAATCCTTCATACCATACAACCGAATCAAATGCCCACCTATATCACCCCGGAGCCCTCCGAAGGCCACCAAGGATCGGGGTTATCAAAGGATCTGCATAAGCACCATCTGCACACCATTCCGAATTCAGCGAGGGCCTCGGGGCCGGCAATATTTCATTTGCACATAAATGTCTCCGACCTCGCCTGGACGATTTTCTTTATTTTTCGCACACCACTCTCCATGCAACAATGGTCCGCATATGGCCCAAATCCGCCCATGACCAGCCATCGGACCTGGAAAAAGCGTCTCCCTCGCGCGACCCCGAATACCAGGTGAAATGGGACCCGGATGATCCCTTAAATCCGCAGAATTGGCCAGTGCGCTACAAATGGTGGGTGACGGTGCAACTAGGCATGCTCGCTCTAGCCGGCAGTTTGGGCTCCAGCATCACCACCTCTGCCGATGATACCATCGCCGAGTATATTGGCGTGAGCAGCGAAGTCGCTGTTCTCGATGTGTCCCTGTACATGTGAGTTTCCCCGTCGCAATACTTCCACCCACTCAATCAGCCACTAACCAATCCCAGTCTCGGCTTCGTCCTCGGCCCCATCATCTGGGCCCCCGTCTCCGAAGTCTGGGGTCGGCGTGTCAGCATGCTCCCCGCCATATTCTGCCTGGCGATCTTTGACATTGGCACTGCGAACAGCCGCAACGCCCCAGCCGTATTCATCACGCGCTTCTTCGCCGGCTTCTTTGGCTCTGCGCCCATCAGCAACGTCACCGCCGCGTTGGGCGACATGTGGAGCAAAGAAACGCGCGGCACAGCCGTGAGCATCTACGCGATCGCCGTAAATGGCGGTCCAGACCTGGGCCCCATCATCGGCGCAGCCATCATGGCCAATTCGAATCTCAGCTGGCGATGGACCGCATACATCCACGCGATCTGGGTCTTCGCGACCTTCCTCATGGCCTTTTTCTTCCTCCCGGAACTCTATCCGCTCGTGCTGCTGAAACGCAAAGCGCAAAGCCTCCGTAAATCCACCAATGACAGCCGTTACTGGCATCCCCACGAACACCTGCACCTGTCTGTCCAATCCATCGTCACGAAACAGCTTGCTCGGCCGCTGCGCATGCTCTGCACTGAACCTATCGTCACATGTATCGCTTTCTACGCGGCCTTCGTCTACGCCGTCATGTACCTCACCCTCGAAGTCTTCCCTATCGCATTCGAAGAACTCCGCGGCTGGTCCCCTGTCGTCGGTGCCCTCCCCTTCCTCGCCCTCCTAATCGGTGTTATCCTCTCCACCGGAGTCAACATCTACAATCAATTCCGCTACAACCGCATCTCCGCGGCCGCAAACGGTGCACCCGTCCCAGAGGCCCGCTTACCTCCCATGATGTTTGGCGGTGTGGTTCTTGTGCTCGGGCTATTCTGGTTCGCCTGGACGGCCACGCCCGCTTACCACTGGATTCTGCCCTGCTTGGCAGCATTCTGTATCGGAGCAGGGTTCAATTGCATTTTCCAGCAATGTTTGAATTTCCTCATCGACGTGTACCGCGTATATGCGGCTAGTTCAACTGCCGCTGTCACCTTCCTGAGAAGTATCATGGCGGCGGGGTTGCCGTTAGCGGCGAAGCCGATGATCAGGGCCCTCGGCATTGGACCCGCGATATCTATTATCGGCGCTGTAGCGGCGGTGTTGTTGCCAGTGCCGTTTTTGTTTGTCAGATATGGGCCGGCGTTGAGGAGGGCGTCGAAGATGATTGATGGGCAGTGATTCAGCGTCTTTAGGGTGTTGGTTACGGGTTGATCATATCATATTTGCATCAGTGAAGCATATAGAATATACTAAATATGACCTGAGATGAATAAAACGTAAAATGTACAGCTAATGTCATGCAGACACATTGTAAAATGAGTAGTAGAAGATTATATCCGCGCCTCCACCACCCCCGTCTCCATCCCCTCATTCTCACTCCCCACCCAACACTTCACCAGCCTCAACCCCGCCCTCCTAAGTAACTCCGCATATTGCCTCTCCGTCCTCTCCGCGCCAGCGAAACTCACCATCATACTTAGATCCCCGATAGCAGCCATCAACCCGCCCCCTGTCTCCGGAATGACCTTCTCCACAATCAACAAGACCGACTCCTCTCTCATCGCCTCCCGCACTCGACTCAGAATTTTCACTACCTCGTTATCAGGCCAATCGTGCAACACAGTGCGGAGCATATACCCCCTCGCTCCCTTGACAGGCTGCTCGGTGAAGAAATCATACCCTTGGCTCTCTATAACACCATCAGGTATCTCCGCATCAGTGACAACATGGGGTAAGTCCTGAAGAATCAGTCGACCAGAGAGATCAGGGAATGCAGAGTGGAAGGCGAGAAGGTCTTGGCCTTGGCCGCCGCCGATATCTACCAACAGTACTGAATTGGGGTTTGCGGATTTAACCTGGAGTTTCTCGGTGACGGGGAAGAGATTGAACCATGGTTGTCCGGCTCGGCGGATGGGAGATTTCATGACTGTGTTGAAGGAGGACTGGTAGTAGGGCTTTGTGGCCAGGTAGTCGAAGTAGTGGGAGGATGTGCCGGCGGCGAATTGGAAGGGCGTGTTGGTTAGGGAGTTGGGGTTGGTCCAGTTGTTTTTGGCGAAGTAGTCCGGGAGGTGGGTGAGGAAGGAGTGGAAGTGCGTGCTGGGGTGTGTTAGGGGGTATCAAGATTGTTGTGGAGGGGAGGGGGAGGGGAGCAAGTACAAGTGGATGATTGCTGCTGCGATTGGGGAGGTTGAAATGTAGGATGAGGAGAGAGGAGTAGGTGTGAAGGTGTCGGATGTGTGTTGTTTGAGGGTTCCTATGGCGGAGAGGAAGCGCATGATTCGGGCTGCATGTTTTGTCAGGAGGTAGGTGTGCTGACGGGAGTATTTGTTTCATACCGACGAGGACTGGGTCTGCTTTTGTGTCAGTGGCTATCTGGGCTACAGTGACTTTGCCGGTCTCATTCTGAGATGAGTGGTGGATGACTGCGTCGAAGAGCTTAAGGTCGATGGCTAGACGGAGGACCATGGTTTGATGTTCCTGGTCTCTGATTAGTATCGACTATCGTAGATTGATAATGATGCATACCGTAAACAAAAGCTTGAATGTCTTTTCAAGCGGCGATTCACACATCCCCTTCAGTCTGTCGCATGCAGACGACAGCTCCGCACGCTGCTGCTCATCTATATTGTTAAGCTCGCCACTGGAGGTGACAGCGTTGATGGACTTGATAAGATCGGAAACACTCATTTTGTAGACCCTCTATAAAACATAGTAATAAACGAAAAAGTGGCTAATAAGCTTGGTAGTTCTTCAGGTCTGATGATGCGCGTCATCACAGTCTTATATACGAAGAAGCTCGGTAGATCGGTGGACCGTCCCCGAGCTAATTTGCCGACCCCGTCCCCGCGCCCGATCTTTATCACCGTGGGTGCACCGAGGCCGAAGTGTTCTCGAACTCGATTGTAGCTGCTTAACTGCTTCTGTTGAGCATGTGGTGACAATTCTGACATTCCTAGTACCAAATAGATTTATGTAGACCTGATTGCACAGCAGGGATTTGACGTGGCGTTTTTGCTATCTACTTCGTGCCTTAGGCAGCTGATATCGGGTTACGGTCGGGTTCTTGGATACATCGCGTTTTCCATCCTACTCACTCTATACCATCTATCTACTCTATTTACCTTCTATCATGCCCACCCAATATCTCCATATGCTCATCCCCATCGGATTTATAACACCAAAGCCATACGTATGTTCGAAAAATGGTTAAATCCCTTATTCAAGGCATACCATCCATGCTTGTACAGCAGGAGATGAAGTCCGCGAAGGCCAAGTCGAATCCACTCAGGCTGAGATAGCTGTGGCCCACTTACTCCTCTTCCGCAGAGAGGGACCCCAGAAGGTCAGTACGTAGGGAATGGGCGCAGCCACCGCACTGATGATCCCAAGAACAGTGAGCGTCCAATGAGTGCCAAGATTCGAATACATCGGGATTCCGACCACCGTCATTCCGCCCGCAGCCAGGTACCGAACCAGTGCCACGAAGGTTAGTGCAGACGCCGCGTATTGCTGATAGGAGTCGATAATGTACATATAGGCCGAGAGGAAGATACAGATGACGCCGAATCCGACGGCGATGGAGGCGGCTAGTGGGGACCAAATCGCGATGGAGGGCTAGAATTATTAGCATCCTGTAGTGAAACAAGCCCATAAAGGCGGAAAGTAGCCATACATAATCAGTCCATCCCATCCAGAAAAGACCAATCGGAATGGCTGGTGCTCCGATTTGCGCGAAGAAGAGACGCGACTCTCTGTCTATCATGCGACCGGAGCCGTCATCACCAGCGTCTCGCAACTGTTTGGCTGTTTTGCGATAGAGGATAGGGACGAGGACCATGCTGGTGAGGATCCCAATGAAAAGTCCCAGAAAGCAAATGTTGGCCAAGCCTTCGTTGATTCCGTATGTATCGGCGAAGATGTAGACATATCTAGGCGGGTTAGTGGGATCCCATGGATCATAATGCAAACTAGTGGAAAGGTGCATACCCGTCCAGGAACGTGAACAAGACAATGTAGACAACTGTTAAGTAAAACGTGAAGAAGATCACGATTGGCTCCATGAGAAGTAGCCAAGGACGAGTGAAGTTCCTCTTCAACACGGGCAGCAGGCTCCCCGATCCCGAGGCCTCGCCGGCTGTCTTGAACCGCGCATCTCCGGTCGCTTCGCGGAAGAATTTGGCTTTGTAGTACAGGAGTTGAGGTGCAAAGGTCTCGCGCTTGAAGAGAAAGATGATTGCTATCACCAGACCGTCAAAAATGAGCATGATCCATTCAGCCCACCTCCAACTGATGTGTGGACTGTAACCGATGTATGCTCCGACAACGGGTCCTAATTGATTCGATGGTGTTAGTTTCACTGCTGGACACCTACTACGTCCAGTGGTCTGCAGTGGATGTTGCGCGATACACTACATCATACTCACCAAGGATAGGCCCGCCAAATCCGGGGATTGCAAAGATGGGGAACCCGAAGGTTTTCTCCAGCGTAGTCCACACGTCGGAAATCGAACCACCCGCAACAGTCAGAGGCGCAGAACCACAGAGTCCCGCGAGAAATCGGAAGACCAACTGTGACCCGAAATTCGGAGCTAACGCAGCACCGAGAATCCAGGATCCGAAGATAATCAAAGCGCCAATGTAGACGGGGAATCGGCCAACGATTTCAGACATGGGACTGGCAATAAGCGCACCGACTCCGAAGCCAATGAGGTACAGGCCAGTTGCGAGTGATTCGGCGACTTGGGAAACTCCAAAGTGCCGGGAAGCTTCGGTCAGAACGGCGGAATCGATGGCTGATGCCATGGTGGTGACCAAGGCGATCAGGCAGACACACATCGTGGAGGCGACTCGGCGGGCATGCGACCATTGCTGCGGGTTGAAGGGATCGTGGGTTGCCCAAGATACCTCATAGTACTTTTCACCGTTACAATCCGATTTCAAGGAAATTCCAGGGATTTGAGAGGGATCTCTGATCTTACTCGGTGGGTGTCCAAGAGGCTGCGGCGATGCGTGATCAGAGGAAGATGACTCGTGCTGGGCACGACTGGCGTCATCGACCAGCTCGTTCACGTATCGTCGCAAGCCCCGATATTGGTATATGAACGCCATGTTCTTTGGTGTTGACAACGGTTGGGAGTCGTGTATAAACACGGAGTCCGGTCGAATATAAGGAAGAAAAAATTCCAGAATAGACGCGTTCGTTGAAGTGGAGTGGATTTATAATCCAGGACAGGCTAGATAGGGACCACAGCAGGTCAAGTTGGCAGTGGCCACTGAGAAGAAGCCATTCCCACTTTTCCCGGCCGAAAGCAGAAGATCTGCATGGCGGGTCATTCCGCCCTTTTTGGGCATCGACGAACTGCTCGGGGTAACTTACTCCGCTGTCCTTCCTAATCAGGAAGAGTAGTCCGGCAGCACCCAATCAGCGCAGTCACTGCTCTGACTGCAGTTCGGAGACTTATCGAGCTTACCGATATGTATCTATATCATTTCTTATGATTATCATACATTTTTATTTAGTCTCCTTGAAATGTGTCGGTACATGCAAGGGCACGTGCAACCTTCGATGTCTTCAGATAATTAAAATGGGCAGATAACTCACTTAGAGCCTTGAGTGAGGACCTGCTGGTAGAATGCCTTCAACGACCTGCCCTTTGGAAAGTCTGGGAACAGCTTCCAGAATTCTGATATCCGCAATAGTCCGCATACTCTGGGGTATTGGCCCCTCGAATACACCATGATATGCGGTATTAGCCCACATTGTAATTGGCAACGTCCATGATATCGACTTTCTGCCCATTCTCCTGCCACCTCTTCCCACACCGTTTGATTATCTCTCTGATCTCTGATTCCGATACCTGTTTGTTCAAGTTAACGCGTCGCTCAAAGGAGCAATCTGATCAGGCGATCCGAGATCAAGCTCATTTGCTAAACTCTTTTAGGGGAGTCTCCCCGCTGACCGTTGCCATTGTATGTGTCCCAAATCTCGTTCATACTTAGAACTTCAGTATACGCAAATACACGTCTATTCGAAGTCCGCTCATCCGATATAATCTGCGCGACACATATCCGTCAACCCAAACTTCTGATCACCATGACCGACGATTTGATGGTTAATATAATTCGAATGGGCGTGGTCCGACCGACCGGATGAATTCTTGGGTACCCAGACCTGAAACCAACATCCAACGTTGATGAGAGTGTA